GGGCTTACATAAGCAGTTTGCAGTTATACGAAATATAATACAAAAATATTATACATGTACACTAATATTTATCTCCTTATATTACCACTTTAAACAACAATATGACAATCATTCCTAACTACAACAAAAGTCCTCTTGCAAACATAAGCTCCTTGCCATGGAAACGACATTCTAATCTTAACATAAGTAAACCTTTGGCTTAGATAGGTTTATGAGCAAACCATCTCTTAACCATCACAAAACATTCTTTAGGCTTGAACTCTGGGGCTGTTGTGACCTGCTCCCTGTATAAGCACATACCAAAAGGGATATATTAATTTTATATAGTTGATCTACCCTAAGTATATATAAAATTAATGTCTCATACCTTTACGGTGACAAATGCCAAAGAATAGTTATCACGAGCATAAGTAGTTTTGTACCCTGCATGTTGACCTTTAACATACCAAGGGTCCCAATTATTATATGTGATTGTCAAATTAAGAGAATTTATCCAATTATATGTCCCCACTGTGAAACATCGTCATGATCTCCACTGTTTCAGAGAAAATAAAGGTAAGTTGTAATAAGTATGGGTATTAAGGATACGATACATGAGTATGGAACTTCTAATACCTGAAAATCAAAGCTCGACAGTTTTCTCTTGCTTAGTTTTTGTGATATTCAACACTACTAAGGACGTCAAACTCATATGATGGCATTGATGCTTACCATAATTGTACTGCATGTCCATATTACATAGGGTCCATTCCTTCACTGTTCCCTAATTAATATCACCTTATATATATTAGTAAACAAGAAATTAATATATACACACATTAAATCGATTGTAATGACATTTTTATTAATTACTTATTAACATACCTTACGTATATTAAGGGCTTTCTTAACCTTTTCGTCATTGGCCCAAGGGATTGCATACTCATGATAGTAACCTGTTAAAAGATGATTTTATATAAATTTAAATATTCATACTAGAGCTTAGGACAATACAATGGTGAGAAAGTGAGAGAGATATGTACTTGGCATATGGAATCATTAATTGGATTGGCTTGTAGAGCTCTTCTGTTTCCCCTTACTATTGGAATAATGATTGTAAGCAAATTGGTTGCTGGATCGCAATCAGGTTCCAAAATTTGTTGAGTGTAAATGCCCTTAACACGCTGACATTAAAGAATACAAAGTATTGACTAAGTGTAGCTCATGAAACAAAATAACGGGGATAAATTTAGTAGCTATGAATTGTTCTTACTTTGTTGACCTCATAAATATTTGACATGCATTGCAAATTGTTAGAATCAGCATTGGCATAATCTCCATTGCAAGCCTTTCTTGTTGACTATAATAATGCACAAAATAAATCGCTTTTTTTGCTGCACTTTATTGGAAGAAAACACATGGAACCATGATAAAAAATAATGGAAACTATATATATGTTACCTCATATAAATCTTTGGATATTAATGCCAAACGATAAGCATATTCGAACCTAGAGTTTATGTCGAGGCTTTTATCTGTCAATGGATTTCCTGCCATGTATCCCTATGGTTTTCATGGACACGTAATTCATGCTTATAAATTTTTATAGATAGAGTACAAGAAACTTATTTGGGTTAATTAGTTATATATTGCACACAATATACTTACTTTAATGTTGAGAATAGGCTCTAATCCTTCGTCATTGCCTTTAAAACAAAGAAATCAAAGATAAAGATATGAATTTCCGTCAATTTAGTTTTTGCTTCTTAAAATATATATGGCTCATGAAACTTGATAAAAGAATTACTGAATTAGTGTTACACAAATCAAGAACTAACAAAATTAAACATACCTTTATATAATTCTTCAGTAATGATCGGAACAACGATTCCAGAATATGAAATTCCAGCAACATACATGGGGTTTTTCAGAATTTTGGATGATTCCTAACAAACTGCAAAGAAAGCAATCATCAATAAGATCCTTCCTTATATAAATATAATTGAGCTACTTAAATTTTCACCAACCTTCCTAAGAAATTCAGCAGTCTGTGCTGCTGATGATGTATCACTAGAACGAATAGCTTCAGGAGTTTTCGTATATGAAATATCCGGTTGTGTGGGTGCATCCAAATATATTACATTTGCTACCTTTGAAACACCATGTATAAGAGATTTTAATGAAGATGATCGACATATAAATTATAAATTAATAAAATATTTAACAAAAGCAATATACTAGAAACAAGCACACAAATACATGTACCTTTGTCCAAGAATTTGGATGTAACTGTAAAGCTGGGACATTATCCATATAATTATCATACTGAATTTGCATCGGACCTAATAAACATAAAATTCAAAAAATTTGAGCTTTATTAAAATAACTGATTGAACTAACTAGCTTTAATCCTAATTCTAGACATTGTCTCCTAGTATTTAGTAATAATTATTTTTGTAAATTAATTTGCTGTATAACTAGATATATAATATGCAATTAACATGTGTAAAATTGCTTGGTATGAAAACAAATCCTCTAAAATAGAATATTTTTTATGGGTAACAATAAAGACAGGTAATCAACTGGGTTCCAAATCGATGAGGGTAATGACGGTTGGATCAGGCCCTACAAGGAGATGGTGAAGTAAGAGTTTCTCAGTGAATATTTTGTTATTAAACATCAAGTGGATGAGTGAAACGCATAAGTTAGAATGGATTAGAAGGCTCAAGAAGGAATTTTATCTTAATTTTTGCAGAATACAAGAAGTACAAGTTTCTAACATCTCTGAGTTGGATAGAGAGGGTGTTGGGGGTGATGAAGACTTTGAATTTGATTTTGTTGCAGCAAACAGGTAGATCAGGTGGTCTGCTTAACATATGGGATTGTAATCAGTTCTCAAAAGTTGTTTCAATTAAATCCAGGTTTTTTTATAGTCACGGTTGGCTATTGGAAACACATCCCAGGAGAGCCATATTTGTCAATGTCTATGCTCCATAAGCACTTGTTGAAAAGAGAAAATTATGGACGGAGCTTTTTAACCTTAAACTCTCTCCAGACCAGCACTGGATATTCTTTGGTGATTCAACTCGGTAAGAAGGCCAGACGTGCGTTTCAATTCCAAATTTTGCCTTTACACGACGTCGACTTTTAACAATTTAATACATGGTACTGGTATATCAGAATACAATATGGGCGGGGTAGAAGATATACTTACATGTGCGATGACGGGATGAAATTAAGCAAGCTAGATCGATTCCTAATTTGTCCGAACTTTCTTATGGCTCAACCATCCTCTATGATGATTGCCCTTCCTAGGGAATATTCAACCCACTCCCCGGTAATCCTGAGAACTAATGTCATCGATTTTGGTTATCGACCGTTTCACTTTTAAACTCCTGGCTCTTTAGAGATGGAATCAAGGCTATTGTCAAAGTATGTTGGTGGTTTCAGTGTTATCAACATATTTTGGTGTAATTATTGTTAATAATGAGATACGATGAGCTCCATTTACTAAACGAGATTGGAGGAGTAGGTTGCACATCGGAGTGATAAATGTGAATTCAGAAATACAGTGGTTCGAGGGCCCTAGAGGCAGGGTTCCAAGGGGCTGCTCCCTTGCGGGGTCTTGAGGCAGCGCGCCTAGCGGGGTCCAAGGGTAGAGCCCCTGGCGGTGGTTATTTCTTAATAACCAAAATTTTGGTGATATCATGATGATGTCATAAGTTGGTTATGTCTTAATAACTAACATTTTTGGCGCCAAAAGCATGTAACTTCCGTTTAACTACTTTCCCTCTTGTATAAGAACGTTTTCTGGTTCCAGAATACGGGTGAAACTTATATACACGAAAAACCATACATTGATTTTTCTATCTCTCAAGAACACAAAACAACAAGGTACTTTTCTATGGTTCTAATTTAGAAGTGGCTTAACTTCTAAATTGAAATTCTTTGGAGTATCCCAAATCTGATTTCATGATACCCCAGACTATAGGGTCGAAATCACAGATTTTGAAAAGTGATTGCTATCACGATCCAAGAAATATCCAAGTAAATTGATATTCTTAAGACCCAAAATTCTAACAAAGTACCTTTGACTGTTTTTAGTGGATGGGGAGCTCCTGATGTCTATCTTGTAGGGAAACTAAGGGCTTAAAGAAGGCAATCAAGGAGTGGAGAAAAAGTGGAATTTGAAAAGGAGATAAATGAACTTTTGGATAATAAACAAAGTTAGAGGAGTATGACAGAATGCCGAATACAGATCTCTTGAAGACTCATAAAAAGCAGATAGAAGAGAACGAAAACATAAAATAATGGAGAATGAAAATACAACAAGGCTTGATCTAAAACAGAAGGCACAAATCAAATGGCTAGTAGTAGATGGGGACGAAAACTCTAGCTTTTTTCATGAAACAATAAAAAAATAGGAACAAGAGGAACAAAATTCATGGGTTTATATGATCAACGGGGTTTGGAACACTGAATCAGAGGCCATTAAATCCGAGAGAGATATGGAATTTTTTGGGTCTAAATTCAATAAGACTTGTTCGATTAGACCTAAATTCATAAATGCAAAATTTAAGAAACCGAACCTTGAAGATTGTAGTTTTTTTGAGAAACCATTTAGTATGGAGGAGAAAAAGGAGACGATTTGTAATTATAGAAGTGAAAAAGCACCGGGCACGGATGGTTTCACAATCAAATTTTTAAAAAAGTTTTGGAATTGTTGCAGGTTGATATTATGCGTTTTGTTAAGCACTTTGAAGAAAATGGAAAACTATCAAAAGGTTTCAACTCCTCTTTCATCACAATCATAACCAAAGTCAAGGATCCCATCACATTGAACCACTTCCAACCTATTAGCTTGATTGGATGTATGTACAAGATTATTGCAAAAGCTGTCGCCTTGAGAATTAAGAAGGTTATCAGAGACATAGATGAGGTACAATAGTGAATGAGGTGTGCTCAAGGGTGGAGAAAGAAAATAGGAAAATGATTGTGTCAAAATCGATTTTGACAAAGCATTTGACTCCATCAACTGGGGTGTTTCTTGACTCAGTCATGTGTCAAATGAGATTGGAGTCAAGTGGAGAAACTGGATCAAGGGTAGACTTTCATCTTCCTATGCTATGCCTCCGTGTTGATCAATGGCTCTCCGACTAAAGAATTCCCAATCACCAAAGGTGTAAGACAAGGAAACCTGCTTTCTCGATTGCTTTCTCGATTCCTATTCATCATTGCAATGGAAGGTCTCTAACATCACTATAAAAATAGCTTATGATCCCTTCAATATCACATCTTTTCTATGCGATGATGCAAATTTCTAAGAGAATGGTCCATTGATAACCTCAAAATTTTGGCCTGAATAGTTAGATGTTTCAAAGCATCCTCGGGCTTAAAGATTAGTTTTATAAGTCAAAGGTCCATTGATAACCTCAAAAATCTAAACCGCAAACCTATGGGGATGTATGCAAAGAAACTCTCCCAGACATATGGAGCAACATAGTCAAGGTTAGAGATGATCTTGACGGTCTCGATTTGGAGTTTGAACAAACTATTTTCCTATGTAGTAGGTTCTGGAGAGCAACATTTGAGATTTTTTTTATTGGAAAGTACTGGTAAACCATTTTAATAACGAACAGATCTTTTGTAAAATCCATTTCAGAAAATATATGGTTATTTTTATGTTTTACATTTACATATCTCGGTTATTTAGTTATTAGCTCTTACTTTAAAGATGTGATTTGTATTCATTGTTCAATTAAAAATAATATAATAAAATACTTCCGTGACCTTCAATTTCGTTTCCAATGCCAATGGACATCTTTGCATTGTGGCTAGAGATTATATTTACATACCGATTTGGAAGAAGAAGGAACGGAGAGTGGCACAACCAGGCCCTCCGGCGAGCCAAACAATCAGGGGATCCTCCTCGGGGTTTCCTTCTGACTCAACAAAACAATAAAATAGCTGAACAGCTTCATCTTCTCCTACTCCGATATACCTGTTCATTCCAATTTCCACAATCACAAATTCACAATCACCACTAATTGAGAGAGAGAGAGAGAAATAGAGAGAGAGAGAGAGAGAGAGAGAGACCCAGTTTCTAGTTTGAAGGGAGAGGACCAGGGTATCCAGGTAAGGTTCGACGATGGTTGAGAGAGGCAATGAGTAGGTGGTGAAAATAAAAGGAGAAAAACGAGGAACTCTGTATACATGAGAAGCAATGAATTGGTTGTATGCTTCATTGTTGAGGTTCTTAAGTGTGAAACAACGGTGACGAGAGTTCTTAAAAATATATATATAAAAAGGAGATCTAGCAAGAGGAGCTGCTAGAAATCGACACCCGAAAGGTGACGAGTAAATGATGTGCAGTTGGTTTTATGGTGAATATGAGAGAGAGACAAGTGTCGGTTGGGTGCATACCATGCGTCACGTGTATTGCAATGAGCATGCAATAAAATGTATTGAATTACTTCCCTAGCCCCATTGTTGTGATGGATGTTCATTGAGTCAAGGGTTTTGGAATACTATCATGGAGTCTAGTGCCACCGTGTGGTGTACATTGGACACGAATTGCTAAAGACAACATTAAAATTGTCAGTTCGACCGAACCTCTTCTGCAGTACGTCCTCCTTTTGTTCTATATACCTTTAAATTTTTTATTTTTTTATTTTTTGGTTAAATATTTAGATATGTATTTGAGAAATCAAATATGTTCTTATTTTTATTTATCCATTTCATATTTGATCAAAACAAATGTCAAAATCAAGAAAGATAATTAATGGATTCCATATGTCATGAATTTTATATGTAGGAAGAATATAAGAACAAAATATATATGAATATTTAATTTTTCTATAACTAATAAAGAGTTATTCATAAAATTAACAGTGAAGTGTTAATTTTGTTACCATTTGGTAACATCAAAATAAGTCACATTAACCTTAGTCTCTAATTTGTCACCATCTTTCAACTACTACATACTACAAGAGGGTTAAATACGTAATCGATCTATGTTACATGTCAGGTGGTCAAATTAATCCCCTTCCTCCAAGTAGTGTCCACGTGGATTTAACAAAAAGAAAATAACTTTTTCCTTTTTAACTAATTGTATTATAATAATAATATAAAAAGAGAATTTAATCTATAACCTTATAAAACTTGTAAAGACTTCAAATTAGATGTATATCCTTATAAAACCTATAAACTCACCTATATACCCAAATACTTAATTTAACAATACTTAACATATTGAAAAAACAATATATTTAAATTACTTTTTATAAAAACAATTAATTTGTAACATGACAATATTAATATACTTCTCCTACATTGATATTCTAGACCTATTTACCTTGTGAATCCTTACAAAATATTGGACACTCACATTGAAATAAAATTTTCGTGATTTTACTTGTAATTGAAGAACTAGATGAAAAAAAAATTGTTTAGAAGTGAATAATCGCATGTCTCCTAAATCGATTGTAGGAAATGAAATATATCGTTTAACAATCGATTAGGAATATACAATCATAAGGTTTTGCTAGCGTTTTATGCAAAAATATGAAACAGAAAAATTCATGTTGTAATATGGGAGGTATTGCAAATGAGTATTTTAGTAATTTAGTTATAATATAATTGAAATATAATGTTTTTCAATTTTTAAGTATATTAAATTCATTAAATTAAGTATTTGGGTATATACGTGGGTTTACGTCAAAATAATATGCCAAGGAGGGTTTGAATGGTTTAAAATGGGAAACTTAATCTTGTCAAGATCCCATAATGACATAGTGCATAGAACTATACTAGCAAATAAAGGAGTAGGAAAAGAAGTAGACACTACTTTTACACAAGAAATTAGTGGGCAGTCTAATGTATTTGACAACCACATAACCCAACATGATGTTTTTTGTATGGTTGATTTACCGTTTCATGGCTAAACCAAGAATATTGAAGTATTTAAGGGCATATTTGATCTTGATCTCTTATACAATAGAAATTCCTATTAAAAGCAAATCGTATATACCGATATCGATTATATCAGAGATATTGGAGATAGGAAGAGCACCTCAGGATATATATATTTCATTTGAGCGAAGAAACAATGTATTAGAGTTCAAGAAAAATGATATTGTAGCTTTATCCTCGACCGAAGTGGAATACGTGGTTGCAACCAGTGGCGGAGCCAGAGTCAAAGTAAAGGGGTGTCCCAAACCGATGGGTTCGGTTTTCTCGGTTTTCCAAACTCAGTTTTAGGTTTAAACCCAAACTCATTCAAAAGTTTAACTTGTTGAGAATTGAGAAGCTTGTATTGCTTATATAACAAATATATAGGAGTTATGTTTCATGTTATGGCGATGTGGGACAATTTTAGAATTTTAAGAAACGGTTGAAAAATTGATAACAAAATAAAGTACACCTATGTAAGGGTTAAGATTCAAAACAAGGACCTCAAAGTTAAAAGTATAGTGCTTTACCACTTGGACAAATCGGTACTTGTGTTGATTTTCACAACATCATAATAATAGGTATAAAATCCGTATAAAGCTATATAAAAGGAGATGCAAAAAAAAAGAAAATAAATGTTTGAAAGAAGATTTGAACTTGCAACCTCGAGAAAAAACCCCCTAACGCCTTAACGATCTGAACTAACTACAACTTGTGTTATTTATCTCGCTAAACATAATAATATTATATATAACACTACAAAACCAAAATTTTTCTAAAAAAATTGCAGTAGTACTGATTTTTTTTAGGGGAATCTAGGGATACCCCGGGATCTATTGTGGATCCGCCCCTGGATGCAACTTCATATGCATGCCATGTGTTTTGGTGAAGTGACTTTTTGGAACATAAGAGTTTAAGCATCCATTAAACCCTAAAAAATCTAGTAATACATAGAAGGACAATATATATTGACGTAAGATATATATATATATATATATATATATATATATATATATATATATATATCTATATATATATATAATATATATATAATTATCTATATATATTAGACACACATACACACACACACCACACACTACAAACGTGATGATGAAACCCATGAAGCTAGAATGTTTTTAAGCAGCTAGGTCTACTTGGGGTACAAGCATAATCGAATTTAAATGGATGCTCAATTAGAATTTCAAGTTAAGGGAGGAATTTATTGGGCTCCATTAAATAAGTATGCAAAGATTTAGTCTTTGATGCAAAATATGACTTTTAAATCGTTTGTAGGGTCATCCCAAACAATGGGCAACGTGGGCGACCGCCAAGAGGCCATCCTTCGAAGGGCCCCTAAACGTTTCGACCTTATGTAATAGCTGATGGAAATACGTGTCCAATATCATAAAAAAATGGTGTAACTTTGAGAATAATGGTAAAATCTTTTTGGGTTGCCCTTAAGAGCAAGAATAGCTGGAAATGATTTTAGGAGATTGAGAAAATGATTTAATAATTTATTACATGTTAATAAATTATTAGAAACTAGTTGAAATTAATTAGAATTTATTTAGAATTAACTTAGGATAACTGGAATTAATCTAAAGGTATAGGGACTGAAATTGTTCAATAGTGAAAATGAGAACATTTTGAAATCCATATAGGTGGACGATTTGGGAGGCTCTTAGGAGGCTTCCAGAATTAATCCTAGTAACAGATAAAGAAACCATTTGAATGTGGATTAAATCTTAATATTTAATTGATTCAAATTAGGGTTATCCTGTTACCACCACAACTATATATAGCACCCTTTGGGTGCTCATAATTTGGTCCATACCTACCTCGTGGAAGGCTGCAAAAAATGATTCCAAACCTCTCTCATATCTCTCTTCTAGAGTTTCTAGGGTTCTTGTCTTTTAGGTGTGATCCATTAGAGGGACTCTACTTTGGGTGCTAGTTTTTCTAAGAGCAATAAGAGATCAAAGGTACTAGAGAAAAATCAGATTTTTCAAGAGGTTAGTGCTATAATCCTTTCTCATTTAGCTTTTAGCATTAGTTTTAAAAGTACGTTGCTAAATAGTAAAACTTAGATCCTAGGGTGCATGTTCACTTAGGATGATTTTTGAATGCTTTCGTTTTCTTATTCTAGTGTATAGTTGCATAGAAAACCCAACAATAGCAACTGATAGAAAACATTTTCCTATTTCCTAAGCACAAAATTCATCATGTGCGTGTTTAAATATAAACAAAGAAGGAAATCATCGAAAGTTTAAAATAAAAAAGAAGGTGTGAATGACACCAAAATGGGGGGGATAAAAAGTTGGAAATCGACTCATCAATGTTGTCCAATGGAAGCAAAGCAATGACGGAACGTCGTCGTCGAATAGTAGGTTCCAACAAAATAACTCATTTTTTTTGTTCTTAAAGGTTGCCTGAAAATTCAATTAGATTTTTTACATTTTTATTTTGATTTTTATAGATTATCTAGTGTTTAATTATTAGATTAGGTTTAATCATCTAGATTGTGCAATGTTTTATGTTGTATGTGAATTTAATTTTACTTATTTCCTCTTTTATTATTCATATATGTCAGTTTATCACAATATGTCATTGTTATGTATTGTTATTGTAGTGGAATTTTGTAAAGTAGTTTCAAATTTCATTAAGATTGGGGATATGACACTAGAAATGTGAACTTATGGTTGTTGTTTCACTTCATACAATTTTTTGGACTTCTTTGTTAAGCTAATAGGAAAGATTGCATTTGTACAAGTTAGAACCGAAAACTTATTTTTATGTTTTTTGATTATTAAAAGTAGTAAGTGATTTACAACATTTTAACTTTTTTTTTTTATTTTAATCATAGAGACAAAAGTCTTAATTTATGTTGGTTTATGTTCAAGAATTATAACATAAACCACACTTACAATATGTATTTTATAGTTTAATCTTTTATGAGATCCAAAATTTTCCAATAACATAACATCCTATATTTTCGGTATGTTAATATTTCTGTATTTTTATTATTTAATGTAATTAGTTTATTGTAAAAATGAGAGATATCTTAAATAATCAAATGTATAAAATACGGAAAATAATACTTAATAGGAGTTGAGTGTTTTTGAGGGTTTGTGATAATTTCCAAAAGAGGGGCTGAATCTATAAAATAAAAACCCTGTGATGCAAATATATATGTTTCAAGGGACACAAACTGTCATTATTGAAATTTAGGGTGCAAATTGAAAAGTATGAATTTGAGCACATGAAATTGACGGGAATTTATTTGGGGTGATTTTGGTTCCATACTCATCTATATACCAAATAAAACCACCAATTAAGCCCAAACCTATTTTTTTGGAGTGTGCGTTATGTGTGTGTTTTCTATGGGTTGTGTGATGAAGGAAAGAAGAGACATTCAGAGTGAGATCGAAAAAAATAGAAGGAGTGGAAGGGGGATGACCAAGAGAAAGGGATAAGGATTGTGTGGTTGTTGCTTCTATGTAGGTTTTTTAATTCATTTTTCTTCGGTGCGTTTTCTTCATCAATCATCACCACCACT